AAGATGTGCTGACACCAAGTGTTCTCTGATAACTCCGTATGTTTGCAGACGTATGACAGCTCTGTACTGACAATAATATGTGTCAGACAATTTTGACTGACATAAATATTAAATATATGATAAATGAATATTAAATAATAAATTATTTTGACTGTCATAATAAATAAAATAAATAAATAAAAAAATAAAAAAAAAAATAAATAAATAAATAAATAAATAAATAAATAAATATCCATGATTGACTTGTTATCAAAGATTGTACAATTTATTTGCAAAAAATAGCACGGAGGACAAAAAAGTAAAAGAAATGGTGAAATAGAATATTGTCTAATAACTTATTTTATTTATTTATCTGTAGAGTCTGCATCAATATTAAAAAACACATTTTGCAATACTGGGTCACCAAAAATATGGAATTGAAAAGATACTCTATTTGTTATTTTGTTTGTTGGTTGCCTAAGGTTATTTGTTTGTGTTTACATGTTGCACTTACAAATTCCAAAACCACATCACAGAGCTGAATCCATTCGTGCGCATCAGTTAACAGGTATTTATTAGTAAGCAAGGAATGTTTGCTAGGTGCTTCCAATAATCGTTTAATGTTCACTGAATACGAAAACATAGACTATACCAATCATTCCACGTGAATGGGTCCTGTAGGGATTAAAGTATGTCCTTAGATGAACACAACCTCAGTCGGTTAACGACGAAGTTTAAATGGTTGTTATTCCGATTTGATTGCTCGTGCAAAACGCGAAAGCCTTTTCTGTTTGAGATGATCGGTAATTAAAGGTTTCTGTGCCTTCATTCCTGTAGGAGATCACTGAGAAACTGTACTGCAGGTTTAATCAGCCGTTGGCGATAGATCAGTTCGTATTGTTGGAGGATTGCTAACCACAGCGACACTCACAGTAGGGGAGGTTGTCATTGTTGCTACTTCTATAATCCAACAGATACAAGCCTTTGACACGAGACCCGTGAAGATCCGGGTTGAATAGGTCTTCAGGAACCCATGCTTACCGTAAGAGGCGACTAACGGGATCGGGTGATCAAGTTCGCTGACTTGGTTGATAAGTGTCATTGATCCCAATGGCATAGATCGATGTTCATGATGTCAATCACTGGATTGTTTAGTACAGACTCGATTATTTACAGACCGCCGTCATATAGCTGGAATATTGGTGAGTGTGGCGTTGAACAACAAACAGACAAGCAAACAAACTTTGACACGAAGTAGGACGATATGATCAACCTAGCACTAAGATCGCTTTATGGAACGGGGCCCTGGTCTTGTTGGGGAATATATGATGGGCGCTTGTTGATATTAAAATGAAACCTTTAGTATGATTTCTACGTGGAAACAACCAGCATGTTGTTTATATATGCTTGTCACGAAGTCTGATAAAGCGAAATGTCGGTCTTTACGTGATCAATTCCTAATAATAATGTGATAATAAATGAAATCATTTGGCAGTTTCTTTGGGGGATGCTTTGAACAGTATTTCAGAAAAATCCCTGTCTGTCAACATGATGTAAGGGGAAAGTCACATTTATTATTTTGGTAAATATCAAGAGTGTTGGTCGGACCATTTCAAAATAAAATCAGTGCGAATATGGGATTCGAACTAACGAGCATGGGTATCTAGCTTGAGTAAGGGGCGCAACTCTGCACAGCTAATTGCGGCGCCCTTGAAGAATACTTGGATTTTATAAGACAAATTAGTGGAATTCTGGTATATTCCGACAGGAGGTCATGTAATCGGTTTATCGAAATATTTGTGGTACTTATCGTTAGAGTCATTATTTGTACCAGGTGACTCTCTTTCCAGTATGTTTACATGTACAGTTGATCTAAACAAACAAACAATTATTAAATCATAAAGTGTTTATGTCCCTATAAGCCCACGAACAATGTCTTTTATGTTGCAAGCGGTTAATGGATCATAAAGAATCATAAAACTCATGTTGGATATTTTGAAGCTGACCAACGGTTCGTAAGCATCGCTTAACTCCGTATTGTCGCCCTGTTTGTAGAACCGTGTGATGTTCCTATCAGAACAGACTGAAATCCACACCTACACACAGAACCCGACACGTTTGAAGTCGGTGTCAGGGGCGGTCTGTCCAACGTCGTGTGTACAATAGCGACAGTGATTGAGCGATGTTAGATGTGTGGTCTGTGCCAAGGCAAAGGTTTTAAACCGGAGTTATTGCATCGAGTGAATAGAAGCGACGATATGCTGTTCGTGGCACGCCAACAGGGGCCAAGATTATTCTTCTAATGCCTTGGAAAACGCATCTCTGTGATTTTAGCAGAATTATGTTTGCATTGTCGAGTTCATTTAATTAATTCACTTGTTTGCTTCGCAATGTTGGGATATACCAAACCACGCGTCCAATCTTTATCCAGTGTGAAAGCTATTTAAAAACTTGAATTTGTCTGTCTTTGTCTAGGAAGAATGGACAGAGGTGGTTGATCATACACGACGAATCTCGACACGCTGACAACGTGTGTTTTTTTTTGGCAGGTTCTGTATTCCGGATCAATGTCCAATTTGTTTATTTTTCATCGACTTTTAAGGAAAGTTTCATAAATGATCGTCGCTGATGCGGCCATGTCTGTCCTCTGGTCGATTACTGTCCATATGTAATTAAATGATATAAAAGCAAAAACACATCATATTCGATAATCATACAAGTATATTGTACGATTCCGTCTATATCATAAGCATGTGTTTATGAATCACCTTTCAAATAGTGATGACACCGCATGTCCGCGGAAAGGTGAGCGTGTCCCGCACCATCAGTGGCACCCGTCACAAACACATGCAAAGGCAACTCAATTGTTCACCTGAAAGAAAAGCCCGATGATTTCATTTGGATTACCAGAGTTTCACTGTAGTCAAAGTTAGTAGACAGTGTTGATGAAGGTGAAATCCTGTCACCACAGCCTGAAAAAGAACCATTGTTACATTGTATCGTGTCTGTGACATCTTCGTGAAAACATGTACATCATCACTGTTGTCGCTACAGTGTCCTATTTATGTTGGAGAATTCAGGCTGGAAAACCTTTACGCTTTATTTCAAAACAGGCCGCCTCCGTGGTCTTGTGGTAGAGCGTCCGCCCGGAGAGCGGAAGGTCCGGGGTTCGATCCCCGGCCGCGTCATACCAAACGACGTTTAAAGATGGTACTTGTTGTTACCCTGTCTGGCGCTCGGCATTAAGGGGCTAAAACAAGGACTGGTCGGCTCGGAGTTAGTATACTGTGTCTGAGTGGGGTATTCATGTTAAACTGCGGCATGGTATCTCAGTGAGCTAGCACTATAAATCGGCATCAGTCCGGACTAGTACAAGCAGCCACGCAAACACGTACATGCACGTCGCTATATAAGTTCAATAATCTTGGACGCGACGTTAAACCCAATTTCACCTCACCTTATTTCAAAACAGGACACATTAAATGTCACGCGTTACCTCGCTGTAGATGTGGACACGTAGGCGTGAAGTAGACAAACAGGAATATGATAAGCAAGTCTCGAGGTTTGGTGACACTCTGCTCTTCTTTATAACTAAACGTCCTTGACGTGCATATATTGACCTCGGCCATGGCCATGTTATAATATTTTTATGAGAAAATAATTGCAAATCAATATCCAGCAATCTTCAATTATCGCTTATTGCTTCTGTCTCGGCCTTATCACACAGCCATCTGACATCAATACTGCACTGACTGAAACAGTTCATCGGAAACATCTATCAATAGATTTCATATCTGATTATTTGCAGCTGCCGCTTCCTGTCTTCGATCGTTAATTTGTTCATTCATTAATTTGTTCAAATACAATCGATTTGATTGAGTGCGTGGTTGAGTGAGTGGTTGAGTGGTTGAGTGAGTGAGTGGTTGAGGGAGTGAGTGGTTGAGGGAGTGAGAGGGTGGGTGATTGAGTGGATGGGTGGTTGAGTGAATGGTTGAGTGGTTGAGTGAGTGGGTGAATGGGTGGGTGGGTGGTTGAGTGGTTGAGTGAGGGGGTTGGTAGGTGGGTGAGTGGTTGAGTGGCTGAGTAAGTGTTTGAGTGGTTGAGTTAGTTTTGAGTGAGTAGTTGAGTGGTTGAGTGGTTGAGTGAGTGGTTGAGTGGTTGAGTGGTTGAGTGAGTGGTTGAGTGAGTGGTTGAGTGAGTGGTTGAGTGGTTGAGTGAGTGGTTGTGTGAGTGGTTGAGTGAGTGAGTGGTTGTCTGAGTGGTTGAGTGAGTGAGTGAGTGAGTGAGTGAGTGATTGAGTGAGTGAGTGAGTGAGTGAGTATTCCAGCTGGACAAAGAATGATCATCACTGGTTGTGCCCACATAGGAAATAGAACCTTTGACATGACAAGGAAACACTTTAATGACTTGGCTACCCAGTACCGTAGATAATTTCCTTATTCCAAACATAACTCCAGTTAAAATCTAAAGACACTGTAATTATCCTTGTGTGCTTCTGGTGTGTAGCCCTGGGGGGATTCCGGGTCAGTATTAGCCCCCAGCAACAAAGGCTGGTCTTAAAGGGTGACTAAATGGATCGGGTGGTCAGGATCGGAGACTTGGTTGCTGGCGTTCCCAACGATGTGGATCGTTGCAATCACTGGATTATCTAGTTCAGACTTGATTATTTACAGACCGCCGTCATACATCTGGAATACTGCTGGGCGCGGCTTTAAACAAACAAACAAACAAACTGATGTGTCGTGACCATGACGTTGTGAACATCTACAGCCCCAGTCTACTGAAATACAAGACAACCTTGTCAATTGGGATGCATTTATAGAGCACCTCACACAAAGTATATCCAGTTAAACCACACAATGTCCAACATTCCTGTCTTCGGTAGAACGACCTGATAGTATGGTTACTCATGTCATAATGTGTTGTTAAAGAATTTGAGCCAGCAATTTGACCAGCAACGTGGAATTTGGTGACTCACGCTTTCAATGTTCCTCGCTACAATGGTTCAATTCTGTTGCCAGATCCAGCCGTCATGCATTCGTGTCGTCACTGCCAGCGCTGAGTGCAACATCGCCGACATCCAGGTAAAATACTTATGCTAATAGAAATTTACTCAGTCTGTCATATTTGTTATATCGATAGTCGGATGAGAAATACAGTACACTACGTTTATAACGAACACGCTTATAACGAACTTGTGGATATAACGAACTGCCCTGGACATTTGCTGTGTATATGCTGTATATATGCTTATAACGAACACGCTTATAACGAACTTGTGGATATAACGAACTGTTTTTTTTTGCCCTGGACATTTGCTGTGTATATGTTGTATATATGCTTATAACGAACAACGGTTATAACGAACTAAAATTAGTGGTCCCTTTGAGTTCGTTATAACCGTAGTTTACTGTATATCGTTAACATTCCAAACTTCGAGGTAGGATGTTTTGAGATGGGTAGCTACAGTGACGCAGAACTGTAGCAGGACTTAAGCAATCGTACACTACGTAAGTGTTGCGTGCAATGCATGTAGGATATTGAGACGTGAAGAACGTCCATATATCACAGCGTATGTCCGACGTCTGTGGTCATGTTTCAAATGTTCTGCAGGTTTTACAGTCTACATAGTATGTCGTTTGAAGTTCGGAAACTTTAGCACAATAACGCTTGTATTGATTCCGAATGGTAGATACACCGTCGGTTCGCGTTACTCAGTTACAGTGATAAAACATACTTAATACATGCATTGTTACCGTCGATTATGGGATAAAACAACGACTAGGCGGCGCGGAGTCAATATACTGTGAGTGGAGTATTAATGTGAAACTGAGGCATGGTATGTTAGTGGACTGGCGCTGTAATGCACACACACACACACGCACACGCACAATACAAGTGCAATAATCTTGAACGCGACCTTAAACCCCATTTCACCTCACCTCACATACCATGTAAGCACATTCCTCGGACCAAACAGTCGGATTTCTTAAATACCGATTAATAATAAACAACTTGAAGACATGCCCTCAATATGGGGAGTTCCAAATATCAATAACAAGTCTGACATTTGAAGGGACATTTTCGTAATAAACGAGGCACGGACCACACAAACCAGTGGTCGATATGGTGAGCACATATCGGAAGCGATGCCATACTTGCAGATCTGTTCCTAATTAGCAGGGGGCACGGGTGGCCCAGTCGTCTAAGGCGCCGCGATTCGCTGTACGGAGTCGCGTCCCTTGGGCAAGCCAGAAACCTATGATTGTGGGTTCGAATCCCGGTTCGCCCCGATTATGTTTCTAGGTTTGCCAGCACCATACCCATGTTCGTTGGTTTCACCGAAGTGGTAAACGTCTGAGACCTGCATCACTTCGGGCTTTCTTCCCACATTAAGCTGACACGCCGTGATATAACTGGAATACTGTTAAAAGCGGCGTTAAACCCAAATCACTCACCTAATTAGCAGTCATTGTGACCAGCTGATCCCAATTATAATCTCTCCTTGCACGCATTACGTACTGAGGGGTTACTGAGATCCTGGACCTCGCGGGTTTCTTCCTTCAAACCTTTCCATGACCTTCAAGTTAATCGTTCGCCCTCATTATTATTGGACGAGGTGTTAGACGTGAGTGTGATGTAATGCGCGCGGCTACCCACTCTGAGTCGGCTACTTATTTACAGTTATCAGTGCCAAGTAAATCAGTCCCGACTCCAAAACCTGTGACAAGTGTCAGGATACAGTGGGAAAACTCACCCAGGCGGAAAATACCATGATAGTCGAGCGTTAGATGTATGTAGACAGGACAAACCACGTCAATTAAGCCAACCCTCAGTCCTGAGGCGTGCGAATCCACCCACAGCACGAATTATGGTTGACACGACAAAAATTAAACGCTTTGTCATCCAGAGTTCGTGAATCGACCTTGTTGCTCCAATTTTCACGCAAAGAAAACTGACAATGGCGGATATTTAGCATGAACTTTTCAGAAATAGTACATGAAAGCGTAGAAAAAATCTCAATGACTGTGTATACATTTGTCAACCAGTCATTACCAACATTTATTATTATTATTATTATTATTATTATTATTATTATTATTATTATTATTATTGACCCGTGAAGACCCGGGGTGGAATAGGTCTTGAGCAACCCATGCTTGTCGTTAGAGGCGACTAACGGGATCGGATGGTCAGGCTCGCTGACTTGGTTGATGCATGTCATCAATCCCTATTGCGTAGATCGATGCTCATGATGTAAATCACTGGATTGTCTGCTCCAGACTCGATTATTTACAGACTTCTGTCATATAAGCTGGAATATTGCTGAATGCGTCGTTAAACAACAAACAAACAAATAATATTATTATTATTTCCTCGCTAGGTAGTGTTCCATGTTCATATTGAGAAAACAATATTGATATTTGGCGAAGGTATGAACATTCAATATTTCATAATTGAATTCCTCGCCGAACTAGCCGGTTGTGTTCGATGGCTGTCATTGATCTGATAAACAGTACAGCACATAGCAAATACGCTGCACCTCTCAGTGTCATAGCGTCGTTTATTTGATGTGGCCATATGAACATGATTATATAACTGTGTATCTATGTACAGAGTTAACACCATCTTCTAAGGGATTCTGGGAGGGGAGAATGATACCATATATATTGCGCCATTAGGTGCCCATGTTTGCACACAGAAAGACATGGCGTTTATCTGACAGTGTGGGTGTGCGGGAGGTGGGGTTAGGTGAAATAGGGTTCAATCTCGCGTTCAGGAGTGCTGCGCAGCGGCGTATATGCACGTGTGTGTGGCTGATTGTACTGGTCCGGACTTGCTAGTCCGAGCCCAAGAGACACCGTGCCGAGTAGTCTCCCCTTAATGCCGAGCGCCAGGTAGGGTACCAAGTACCATCTTTTAACGTATTTTGGTATGACGCGGCCGGGGTTGATCTACCGAGCTTCCGCTCTCGAGTGAGTGAGTGAGTGAGTTGGGTTTAACGCCGCTTTAACAGTATTCCAGTTATATCGCGGCGTGTCAGCTTAATGTGGGAGGAAAGCCCGAAGTGATGCAGGTCCCAGACGTTTACCACTTCGGTGAACCCCAAGAGCACGGGTATGGTGCTGACAAACCTAGAAACATAATCGGGGCGAACCGGGATTCGAACCCACAATCATAGGTTTCTTGCGTGCCCAAATTACGCAACTCTGCACAGCGAATCGCGGCGCCTCAGACGACTGGGCCACCCGTGCCCCCCTTCCGCTCTCGAAACAGACGCTCTATCCACGAGACCACAGAGGTGATCTCGAAGTGTGAGAGCGCGAATGGTACAAAGAAAAGCGCGTAGGTGATAACATTTGTAATTTCGACCTGATTTGTAAAGTGACCTTGACCTGACCTTGTAATTACGAAATTGTAAAGTGACCTTGACCTTCACCCAGGATGATGCAAACTTCCTTGCGATACCTTGTGATGAAATTCTGTTTGAGTGAAAGTTTTGCCTTGGTGTGCTCCATGGTTTGCCTAGCTCTGTGTCTGATGCTGAAGCAGATGATGCAGATACGACTTGGAATAGAGATGGGTATACAATACAGGGAAAAATACACTCATGAACATAATCAACTGTACCCTACTTGACATTAACAGTGGTGTTTTACTACTCATATCAACTATAGTCATGTGAATATATCGGGTGTTCCCTAACTTCTTTTGAGTAGTATATGTTGACTATATGGTTTAAAGGATAGATATTTGCGACTAAACGTGTTTCTCTCTCAGACTGCTGGAGTGAGTGAGTTAATGAGTTTGGTTTTACGCCGCTTTCAGCAATATTCCAGCAATACCATGTCGGGAATCGAACCCGGGTTTTCGGCGTGACGAGCGAACGCTTTAACCACTAGGCTACCCGACCGACCCTCAAACTGCTTGAAATAGGAACAATCAGAAATTGAATCAGACACACCAACATTGTTACGCGGCATGTAAAATTGAAACTTGAAATTTGATTAAATTCAAATTAAATTTCTAAATATGTATGAGGTAAATTTCCAGCCCGCCTTGACACCATCACAGTTGAAATCTTTAATAGAAATTACACAGTTTGAGTTTTTTTTATCTTTAAATAAACATAATTTATTATGATGACTAAGCACATATGTCAGATACTCTTTTGCTCAAGTTACTGTTCTAAGTCTCTGATCCATTCACAAGTATATAAGGCAAAGAAAAGCCTATTCCACAATGTTTGTGTTTATGGAAGAGGACGCTCCATTATAGGTGAATAGCGTCATTATTTATAGATGCGAGATTCCACGAGACTATACAGAAAACTCCTTGACCCAAGAGAGATAACCGAGTACGCCTTAACAATATCATCTCCTTTTGAAGCTACGCACTGATAAACACATCTCCTTTAGATCCATACTTTATGATAAATGAGATATTTGTCTATATTGTCCTCCCTTTAAGATTCCTCTACTCAGGCGTGGCGAAAGCGCACTGGACTGTCACATCCAGTCAGAGAGGCCTATTTGCGTTGAGGTCATACTGATAAGAGTTCACACCCAAAGACTTTCGATTTACTAAAAAAACATGATGGTCATAGGTAGATAAGTACAGTATGTTATGAGGTCATTTTTCTCTGGAACAAAAGAAGTGGAATGGGTTTTTTGGGAGGTCATGTCATATTGTGATCTTATTGTACAAAGGTGATTGGGTTTTTGATGAAAGTTTGTGTTAGCCAGACTTGGTGTCTCGAAATAAATATGTTTTCTATTCGTGATTCAAATGTATTGAACCAAAAAAGCCAAGTAAAGTACAATATCCTCAGGCAATTTAAGCAACAGCTAACCTGTCAGTGTGGTAAAATGTTATCATATAATAGTGAGGTGAGGCTTAGGTGAGGCTTAGGTGAGGTGAGGTGAGGTGAGGTGAGGTGAAATGGTGTTTAACGTCGCGCCCAAGATTATTACACTTATATAGCGACGTGCATGTACGTGTGTGTTTGTGTGGCTGCTTGTACTAGTCCGGACTTATGCCGATTTATAGTGCTCGCCCACTGAGATAACATGCCACAGTTTAA